ATCAGTGGCGGATCCAGGATTATTTTAAGGGGGGGGGGGTCCGGTTTTCAGGGCTGACAGACCGCGGATGCTTTGGCGTGGGACTCGGGGCCCGCCGTAAAAAAAAATTGGTATTTTAGAGGGCGAACGGTGCCTTTCTGTACTGTTTAGAACTATGATTCAGTAAGTCAAAATTCCAATTTCAAGTGGTGTCCATTGGAGTGATTTTTTCAGAAATCGAAGAGAGGTCACGACCCCCTGACACCCCCTTAAAAGCGCCACTGTTCTTAAACAGGATTATTACTTGATATTATTATTAGATTATATTTTTTCCATATTATTTCAGATATAATAATAATAATAATAATAATAATAATAATAATAATAAATGGATATGTGCTTGGCACTTTAGATCAATCGAGTGTGACTCATTATATAAGATATTAATTACATTAAGAAGAGTTCGATGAGTTTGATTTTAGTTTTCATCATCAATATCAAGATCTGATTGCAAAAAATTTTTTCCGCATGCTGCAAATATCCCAGCGGGTAACCAAGATTCCAGCAATCTCGAAGTTGTAGGTGATGAACAGACTCTCCAGATAAAACTCCGATGCAAGCACAACCCGTGCGCGCAAGGCTGCTATAAAACCAGTGGTCGGTGTTCAATCCTCGTGTTACAATGTAGATATTTTTGTTGGTAATGTGTCCCCTGTAAATGATGTTGATGATATGGTAGCTCATGTTTCAAGCATGGGGATCGACGGGGTTTCCTGCAGACTGGTGTCTGAGAAGTACGGTAAAAAATCTTTCGTCATTAAGATACCAACAGTGTATAAAAAGCTTGTTTTGAACACTGACAACTGGAATGACAATATAAAAATCCAGACCTTTCGTAACAATAATGCAACAAGACCCCCACCCACACACGAAGGGATAACCGTAAGCACCCAAACGTCAGGTCCGGGAGGCATGGCGGTGACTACAGCGTCTCACTAAGCCACTACTCCAACCAGGGGCAACGTAATTCACCCGACACCTACCACCGCTATTTATTAAGAGAACAGCAGGAGACGGTCCGACGAGTGGGAGACGACACACCGATACACCTACGACAACAGAAGGGACTACGACAAATATAAGGAGAGATCACATAGGTACGAATCTCACGGGAGACAGCAATCCTCACGATATGCGAGAAACTATTTCACTAAAAGTAATGTTGGGTCACAAAAATTGAAAATATACAACAGATTATTGTCGAGAGTTTTAACTGTAAGGTCCTGAAGAGCTCAGTTATTACTTACAAGATAGGTTAGAGTCTTGTGACATACTATGCCTATCTGAAACCTGGCTAAGGCCACATGAAATCTCTCTCCTCCCCGAGATTTTACACGTAACTCCAGGTACATTCAAAACTTATGGGAAAAGTGCAATGGGAGAGCTAGACTTTCCTTACTCTGGCCGACCCTTTGGTGGTGTATCTTTAATCGCGAGACAGATGTCAAACGTTACGATAAGTGAACTGGTAGTTGATAGCAATAAAATATGTGCTATTAGAGTTTTTGATTCCACCGGTAATATAGTTCTAGTAGCGGCACCAGTTAATATGCCATGCTTTGAATGTGGTAATGGGACTAGTACAGAGGAATATATACTGTAGATACCATCACCTGCCTTCATTCTCTAATAGAAAAATATGCATCATCTGCGCCCACTGTGCTCTGTGGTGACTTTAATGCCCAGCTGCCCACAGATAAGGACATGTACTTACGATGGTACAGGGACAAACGCTTTAATGACTACAGTGGTATATTACACGATTTCATCCTGGAAAATTGTCTCACACCTGCGGACTTGTTTTTGACCCAAGCGCTTAAAGGGGAATACAACTTTCTGGGGTACTAAATTCAATAAAATCCGACCCCTCTTCTCTCTAGATCTGCCCATCACGTTTTACCCACTGTAAGCGTAAGCCTATTTTTAGGGGGGTGATTATCCTGTGATGACGTCATTGTATTCCCCTTTAATTACACTTACTTTTGTACCCCGAGGGATGTCTATTCGTGGATAGACCACATTCTAGTATCAGCGTGAACCCCAAGGGAGTTAGGTCGATCTAAATCTAAATCTCTTGATCGATCTAAATCTCTGGAAATGCACCCTAAAAGCCTGGTCTAAACCCAAACCATCCGGAGAACTACCGGCCAATCACCGCCAGCACTACATACTCCAAACTTATTGAGTCCATATTCCTCCCCAGTGTGCCCTATACCACTGCGGGCACCCAGTTTGGGTTTAAGGAAGGAAGAGGAACGGACGTCGCTTGCAGCTTCTTAAATGATATTATGTGCACTGTGAAAGACGGTGACTCGCCCTTATACATGTATATGTGCAACCTCGACGCCGAAAAATGCTTCGATATGATTTGGCACAATGGACTATTCTATAAACTGTTTGATGTTCTCCCCGATTCGCATTGGTTATATCTTTATAAATTGTATAAGAGTTTAAGTGTTTCAATAAGGTGGGGAGGCTCATATAGTGCTAATTTTAAAATTACCCGGGGAACAAGGCAGGGTAGTATTTTATCCCCGATCCTTTTTAACATTTTATTGACGAGCTGCCGAAGGAATTATCCTCTACAAACACTGGTGTTCTAATTGGAAATACCTTATACACGTATAATAATATTATCGATGCTGATGACTTAACAATTTTTTCTATATCTGTTACTGGACTTCAAGATTCATGGGTTTATCTTCGCGATCACATACCTCTGCTCTCCTAGAAGTCAAACATATTCCGAAAATTAGTTATACTATATCTAGAAATGTAGAATCACTATACCGCTGGGTAATGAGCATTGACACGCCATATCTTAATCTTTTAACTCATTAACTGTCTCATTTTATGCTTAATCGTTCCATAGTGAAGGGGTCGTTGCTCCAGAGGATTGTCGCTAGTTGCACGAACCCGATCTTATGTTTGAGTGGTCCCGGACCTGCATGCACCGACAGGGCTGTTTGTTTCGCTGAGATTCTTAGTAGGCCCCTACACAGCCCCTGCTATCAGAACAGACTCTCAAAAGAATAGATGTTGGCGGAATTGCTCTTAAAATCGTTTTAGCTACTGTTCTGTATATATACAATTAAAATAAATAAATAAATAAATAAATAAATAAATAAATAAATAAATAAACAAGAGACATGTAATAACCCGTCCCCGAGTTTCACGGGCATACCCAGAAGGTATGCCCGATCGTCAGGAGGTTTATTTGAAAATGGTTTTATTAGTCGTTTTTACGTACACGGCGTGACGACACTTACGTCGCACGCCGTGTTAGTTACGTCACCTTATGCCGACACATGGTAATTATTTCAGTTCTTTTATTTCTAAGAGTATCTGGTGTTATCATTATTAACAGTTTTTCGTCCAGGCAAAGGTTGCATAGGTGCTGATTTCTCCTTTGCGTCATTGATTTCTTTATGATATCCCATCTAATGCCATACTGGGTGTTATTTTCTTTTAATTTCCAAATGTATTTAGATAACTCAGTTTCTACAGCATATTTTTTGTCCCTAAATGACTAAGTGTGATTATTATATCTCAACTTAAATTGCCCACCACAAAGGCCTATATATTTCATGCATTTGTTCTTTGTAATAACTGTTGCTTGGTACACAATGTTGCTAGACAAACATTCCCCTCTCAAAGGACACTTGCTTGGTAATCTACAATTACATTTCTTATCTTGAGTGTCGTCACGCCGTGAACGTAAAAACGGCTAATAAAACCATTTTCAAATAAACCTCCTGACGATCCGGGACTTTTTTTAATTAAAATGGAGAGAACAGACTAATTTGTTCGGTCACTTGTCTTTCTGTATATATATATATATATATATATATATATATATATATATATATATATATATATATTCTTTTACTCATCGTTTAAAGGTGGTTTTTAGAAAATAAATAAATAAATAAATAAATAAATAAATAAATAAATGAGAAGAGTTCATTGCACTCGAGGCAAACGCGGCCACAAAAAGCTATATATTCGGCTGAGAGGGCGACCGAGAGGGATTCAAATAAAGGATATTAGTGAATACGTAGCGTTGTCTTGAGTTGTTTTCTGCACAGTACATATCAAGATAACCAATAGTTTTTCCGTACCAAGGGTTATTGTTAAATCACAATGGAAAGTTCCTCACCACACAGAGAGCCGTAGTTGATCAGGGAAGTGAAGCAATGTTGGCAGTAAAAATATCAGTAGAGACGGACTCTCAAATGTAGAAACTGAACTTTTTCTCTTTGATACATGTGTTACCGAACTATGGAAGCGAAGTCTGGGAGTTTCGTAAATCGTCAGTTATACATCTGCAATATTGTTAATAGATCTTGGGAGTAAAACCCTCTTTACACTGGACAGAGACCATGAAACTTGCCAGGTGGCCGTTGGACGCTCAAAGAACACATGGTAATCGCTTAGGTCGTACACAGAACGTTCAAGCATCGTTTATCGGTCTAGCAGGAAGCAGAAAGATCTTAGAATGATAGCCACTGAACGTCGATGAAGGTACAGAGAACGTAATGAAGGGTTCGTAAAGAACCCTTGAACCCTGTAGGTTGTGCAAAAGACGCAAAGGGGAGGCAGGCGCGTAGCTCAATGGACGCACAGGTCCTATATCCTATATTCGGTCGTTCAAAGAAGGCACAAAGGACGAAGAAGCATTTACACTGAGACACGATTCAATTGTTTTGGCGACAACTGAGCTTCTTGACCACATTACTGATTGTAGAAGGGACGCTGAAATGACGCCGTCCACTGTAATGGGGACTAAATTTAAAGTAACAAAGTTGTGCCGTCTGCTGTTTATAAAAAATTAAGGAAATTCCCACTGTGTAGGGAATTAACACGGGGTTATAAATGTTATACGAGGTTGAGCATTTTAATTCAAGCGAAGGACACATTTTGCCTGCACTAAGTGAACTATTTATTTGATTTTTCAATCAACAACCAATGACTTTCATTGTGTGACCTCACTGAACAAGCAGCGAGTTATATGATACAAAAACAGTACCAGTGGGTTTTACGCTTTTTGAAAATTTCAAATTGGGGAAATTTCAATATCAATAAATTAAAATTATAAATTATAATTATAAATTCTAAATGTCAGCAGGTCCCGTATATAACTGATAATAACGCATGGAATTATTCTTGTTGTTCCGTGATCCAACCATATCACAATGCAGCAAGCCGTCAATAAAGTAGCAGTGTTTCCTCCTTAATATCCTATGACCAATTAATAATCAGAATAATTCCTAATTTTGACAACCATTATTTTCTCAGGATTAAAATAGCATGTGTATTACATATTCAAAATATCAATGTCCTTCTTCTTTGCATTTCTTTGTTAATTGATGTTGATATTTGAAACCTTTCTGGTCATTTTTATAATTTATTGTTCTTTTTTGGTCACAATTTTATTATCTTGAAGCACCGGAATAATCAAAACATGTATTTCTTTTCCAAATAATTTTTCTAGTTTTCTTGGATCTGCGCATCTAACATTCATATGTCAAAATCAAAGCCGGTACAGATCAGATATCCCATATATCGTCATCAGCACTTACGGCTTTAGTTCATGCATCTAAAAGCATTGCTTATAACATCTAAGAAAATAAAACAATGTCTAAGTGAATGCCTGATTGCTAAATGCATGTCTCCCAGGTGGAAATGAAGCGAAGTCAGTCTCGTTCTCACTATCCGCCGAGGCATCAATGTCCTCAATGTTGCCGATGTCTCCTTCCATGACATATTTGTTTGCCCCGATAGATGTCATCTGGTGTGTGTAGGCCATGGGCGACGATCTACGGGGATGCTCTGGCGTGGAGCTGACTTTATATTTCTGTCCCCAGAAACAGCGATAGGCAATAACAGCAGTAAGGCACAGTGCCACCACTCCACCCACTGCGCCTGCGCCGGCCTTGAAGCCCACCGTCTGGTACCATGGTTCTTGTGGGGACTTTACCACAGTCGCTGAAATAAAGAGAATATAATTTGTTTCATTTACTTGCGGCAATTTTTTTCTGTACATCATCCTCGGTTTACCTTCTTTGTGTCTTTCATTCTTTTGGCCATTTTACTTTTTTCTCAGCTTGGCGTGTTCCCATGACACGTTATTTGCAAATATACAGGTATGTGTTCAGAAAACATACAAGTATTGCACGTATAACTAAGGACTTAGGGTCATTTGGTAAACGTATCATTGTAAAATTACCCTATTAGCCTATACATCACCGGATGTGGAAATTACTAACTTTTTATCAGGTGTTTGTGTTCGTTTAGATAAAAGCGGGATTCAATTCATACATGTTAACTTGGTCATTGTTTTGAGCTACTGTAACATACCTTGTGTTGTCGTCGTCTTCGGCGTTGGTACTGTCTCACCACTTGTCACTTTACCCGCGGTGCCCGTTGTTGAAGAACTCCCAAGGGTCGTGGAAACCGGTGCTACGGTGTTAGTCGTAGGGTTCACAACGACTGTATCATTTCGTTCCTCAACAAGGTGTCCGTAGACAGAAATAACAACAGGCAAGATGGCGGACTTTGGTGGCTCTCCTCCATCCTCCGCCAAAATGGTAAGGTCATATCGATACTGGGCTGGGTAACGCACGACGATCAGCTCTCCCGTGTCTTCATTGACAGCAAATACAGCATCAGGGTTGCTCTCGTTGGTTATAGAGTGTCGAACCGTTCCGTACGACCCACTGTCTTTGTCTGTGGCCAGGAACCGCCCTACCGTGCGTCCTAGCTCGCCGCTGGCATTCACTGGAATCTCTGGGAAACCAAACAACTGAAAAAGTGGTGTGTTGTCGTTGACGTCTTGGACAATGATGGCGACCTTGGTAGCAGCACTCTTGGGCGGTACGCCCTTGTCAGATGCCACTACTGTCATAATGAACTCCTGCGGAAGACTGTCATAGTCCAGTTTGGCTACCACTGATAACTGTCCCTGACTGTCCATGTTGAAGAACCGCTCCGCTCCGTTGCTTCCAGAGAAAGTATATTCTAGTTTGCCATTTCGCCCTGTATCTAAGTCTGTCGCGTTAATCATGGTAATGTTCTCTTGAAACACGATAATAGTTCCTGGTGGGGCATTTTCCGGCACAGTGCCATTGTACCAGTTGTATGCAAACACTGGGCTGTGATAGTTCGAACCAATTCTAATAGAACAGTCGACGCCGTCGTATTCATCCAGACTTTCGCACAGGTTAGGTGAGACGCAACTTCCATTACCAGAGCAGTTGACCACATCACTGCAGACGGGCTCGTCACAGCGTTCACCCAGCCAGCCGGGAGAACACAAGCACGTGTCCAAAGATACACAAAGTCCATTGCCTGCATAGAGGAAAGACAAACACAAGTATGTCACATAGCGTAATATAGAGAGAGGAACAAATGCAATCGTTGCGGATGTAACACATAAGATTTATGACTTTTATTTTAAACTAGTTTCTTCCGCACTAAGGGAATGCAATCGTGTCCAAACTCCCAATGAACGCATTACTGGCAGATACCTTCTGGTCAAGTGGATGTTTTAACGCTTTTCTTTGAAAATAAACGGGTTAGTCGCACAGTTAGAATAAACATATACAACCATATATAAAATGACATTGTGGGTATGTATTGAGTTATACAGTTATTACCAGAGCAGTATCCAAGAGCTTCACATGAGAAATTAGAGCAGTCATTTCCCCCGAAGCCTGGGTCACAGTTACAGAGGTTGGGCTCCAAACACGCACCGTGTCCTGAACAGTTGTTTACGGCAGAACATCAGACGGTGTCACACGTGTCGCCACGGTAGCCTTCAAAACACCTGTTACAAATATCATTTTAGAAGGGAGAAAATAAAATCATAAATACATGTACTGTTTTCCTCCCTGAGAAATTCTCTAAATTTGTCATACGGCAGACTGTAAAAATTATAATAACAATTTTCAAATTGTCTTATTTTAAATGTCATAAATGGACCCAGCCTACGCTTTCACCAAACATATATTTAAAAAACCGTTGTTACTGTCACTTTCGTAGACAATTGCTGTGGGATTTCTGTTATTTAAAAAAAAACCAAACGCTTGCCACCTCTAAATGAAGGTAACGCAAAGTACCTGCACATAACAGCCGTATTATTCCCTTCAAAGGCAGCGCATACACCGTGGTTATTACAGCCATTTAACGATGTGCAATTCTTCATTGCGGTGCAGTTTTCACCATGGTAACCGTCATAACACGTGCACGTGTGAGGTGACGTACACACCCCGTGTAGGGAGCAGTCATTATTTGAAGAACAGTCTGGCAGAGCGCAGCTGTCACCTTGCCAACCATTGTCACAACTGCATACGTCGTATCCTTTACACTGACCGTGGCCTGGAAAGGTAGATGCTTCAACATTCTTCTAATTGAACTACTGATGATAACGCATATGACAGTGATGTATAATAGCATATCGAATAGTACTGCTTTATCCTATCACATATTGTTACATGTCGCATTATACAAAAACGTTTTGTTTTTTGTTTTTGTGTACTTTATCAAATGCATCCCTTTTTTCATATCATTCACGTAAAAACAATCGTGAAAATCTCTCCTATGAACAACACACCTGAGCACGCTGCCAGACGTTCACAAGAAAACTCTGTGCAATTTGGCCCCGCCCATCCGCTGTCACATTTGCATACGTCAAAGTCCACGCAGACCCCGTGCCCGGAGCAGTCAGACACGTTGAAACAAGTTGCAACGATGCTACAGTCACTACCTAAATATACAGAATTGAATACGTGCGTAAATTAGTGTTCGTGTTTTTTTTCCTTTTTTTGTTTTTTTGCCACAGAAACTTCGTAAATTAATTTGAATATACAGGTAGAGTGCATGAAAAACTTAGATGGATCCAACTGCACGGGGACTCTCGCTGAATGCAATCGAATTAACTACATGACAAGTTTACTCGGGCGTTAGGGGTGATCTCGGTGTACGCTCGGCTTCTGGAAGATTTTGCCCTTTGCCTTATAAGCAAACAAGTTAATCCTTATTGTAATGCATACTTAACAAATCCTGGTAGACAGCGACACCTGTTGGTCCTGTAACACACAGCATGGTCCTCAATACATACCCACAAATCCTGGTAGACAGCGACACCTGTTGGTCCTGTAACACACACCGTGGTCCTCAATACATACCCACAAATCCTGGTAGACAGCGACACCTGTTGGCCCTGTAACACACAACGTGGTCCTCAATACATACCCACAAATCCTGGTAGACAGCGACACCTGTTGGTCTTGTAACACACACCGTGGTCCTCGTCAGTGCAGTTATTCACATACAGACACGTGGCTGGAAAAGAGTACGGCGTTGAAGTTATTAGTTCATTTTAGGAGAGTATGTTCTGTGTGGTATGGCACATTACGTTATGCAGCACACACACATTCCTCTTCTATACACTTACTCATATTATAGCGTTACTCATGTGTTGTTGATGCAATGGTATGAAGCTTTCTATCAAACACAATATTATTAAAATAAAATACACCTGAATTAGATTAACTCTACTCGATATAACTTCTTGTTTCTATATGCTTTTTTACATTTCTCTTCGTGACTGAAGAAAAAAGACCTGAGGTCTAGACTGCGATACATTTGTTAATTAACAAGACTGATGCCGTCAGAGGAATGTGTGGTGGTGAGGCGTGGCGAGCGAAAGGAGAATAAATGCTTTACAGTACGCAACTTATCTACAAACAAAATAGAGTGCTCCAGAAGAGCAATCTAGTGCATACAGTAAACGGGTGTTTTGTAAGTTCCCTATAGTTACCTTTCTGGTCACAGGCTGTCCCTTCCCAGCCCACAGTACACACACAGAAACCGCTGTCACACACACCATTGACGCAGGCACCACAGGAACCTGTATGAACCGGAGTGATATTGGCGTTAGTATTGCCACTTGTATTATAATTCAAAACATATCTAAATTTTTATAAAAACACTTATTATTATTATCATTATTGCACAGAGCAGTGGGTGTCACAGTTTCATACATATTAAAAAACGTGATTTTGTCAAACGAATATTAGAAACAAAAAGGAAAAGAAAAAAGTGGAAAAAATATCCAAAAAGACTTTGAATATCCTTTTGCTAAGATATGTGTCAATTCTACATGAGGCACTAAATGTTACCATAATGTCGAAAATGGGTTTCTTTTTCCTAATTTAGTCAGGTTTGATAATCTACACGTTTTTAGGCAACTTGTCACTTTTTGTCACTTGTATTATAATTCAAACCATATCTATATTTATATAAATTATTATTATTTTTATTGCACAGAGCAGTGGATGTCGCAGTTTCATAAGGTACATGTTTAGAAACAAAGTGGAAAAGAAAAAAGTGGAAAAAATATCTAAATAGACATTGAATATCTTTTTGCTAAGATATATGTCAACTCCACCTTTGTTTGTCTCCGTGTAGGGCGTTGTCCAGGGTGACATATAACCTACCTATAGAGCAGTCAGTTCCAGTCCAGCCGTCGTTACATTGACAAGTGCTGTTCACACACCTCCCTTTACCATTACACTGACCAGGACAACCTGGCAATAACGTTATATTATGAGGCTACAGGCACAGATGTGGTTGTATATGCATGCAGATTTGCATATTATTGTCTACTTCTAGCAAAGGATATTAATTCAGCAGTTAAAATAACACAAAATAACACGGATATTTATAAACAATGCAATAAAGAATATGTGCACATGGAAGCTAATGCATGCGTTTTTAATATCCATTAATATATTCAGTTCTATATATTGGTTATTTTATCTGATTGTGCCATTGTGTCTTTATATTTATCCAACCCTTTACGTGTTGCCAGAATGATTCAACAACAATAATAATAAAAGTCTGATATGGCGTGAATCTACAAAGTATGTTACCGTTTTGATGCCGTATATGTATATATTAATTTTTATTTAATTCAAGCAGATGAGGCAAGGAGTGGTGTTAGAGATTCTCTATATATTAATACTCACCTAGTTCATATGTTTCTTGGTTGGAGAAAGTGATATCTTTCGTGACCACGATGTCATAGACACACTCCTGCAGTACCACCCCCTCCAGTCCTTTCCCCTGACATACCGACTCTGCAGCCTGAATATTGGGGTAATGACGGTATAGCATTATATAGGTTGCAAATGTTAATGTCACCTACTCGGGCTCATCTTTACACCTTACCGACTATGCTGCTAATTTTAATAATCTAATGATTTGGAATTAACACATGTACCTGTTTTCCTTGAATGTACTGGGGTATTTGAAATTAATTACAACAGTTTTCTAAAACTATGCTGTAATGTAAAGCACAAGTGAAGCATATGCAACAATAAATGTTCGAGACAACAGTTCTTTATCATTTAATAAAAGTCTTCTTGAAACAGACCGATGTCATATTAAGTATCTAATCAGATTGTTTATCATACGTTTACAGCATACATGTAATTCTGTATTGATATACACGTATTTGTGATGGACACTTTGATCATTTCGACCGCAATGGCTTTAAGCGTTATATACAGGTAAGAGGTTACTGACCTTCATCTCAGCCTGTGATACGTTCACGGGACCGTAGGCCGGATTGTATAGACTAGGGTCGGTGTAGGAGGGGTCCATGACGTCGTCAGCGTGGAAGTTTGAACTGTCCCAGGACCAACTGCCGTATAATCCAGAATCAGAAAATGAAGTACTTATTCTCCCTGTGGTGATAACGACAAATGCAAAAAATGTTTTCAAAGGAGCAAATGATGAAAATTCGAACAATTAAGACAATGTTTTTGTATCACTTATTTCTATATATGCTAAAGAATATTACGCATTAATTTCAAATCTGATTCTTTTCACCTCTGTATACAGTCTATAAACCATATGGTATTTCATCGCCATACTCTGAATTTCAAAGAGAAGAAGTCAAGAATAAATATGTAATCAAGCTCATCAGTACATTGATCATTCTCTCTAATAGTTGTCGTATTTTTTTTCTTTATGACTCACATGACTCGGCAAATTCCACTGCATTGTCCTTGGTGACCACGGTACCATTGGCCATGGTGAAATCGTTGTCCTGGTTGTCGTCCATCAGTCCGCATAGTCCAGACGTCTGCCCTTTAAAACTGGCAGTTAGACCAGAACGTACGTTAAGGAAGAGACGCCCCATCACCGGACTGAACCGGACGTCTACTGTGACAGATACACCTAAGGGGAAATAAAGCGTTGACACAATCAGTGCCAATCACCACAGGCGTGAGGAAAGGAAAGGAGGAACTATTCAATTTGGTTCAAAGAAATGTACAGAGTCACTAAACCATGTGTTCTGTGCCTAGGACTACCATGGTTGAAATACGTAGCTAAGCCCTCCACCCCCTCCCGGTGTAACGTGAAAGAGAGTCCGCTTCCCATTCATTTGTACTAGTGAGCCTTGCCCTAGATTTTGACCCATTTAGGTCAGTCAAACCCTAACCATTTTAACTATACGGAGGGTGGACTTTCTGTTACACGGATCCTCAGTTTCGTTACACCGGCCTCCAGCAGCTATGAACACATACCAGTTATTAACTCACAGCCTACAGTGTATATCACATCCAGTGACAATAGTGTATGAGAATATTCTCTTCAAATTACGCCCCTTAAGGTGAAAGAACATAAATATAACAGTCTACATACCGGTGTCATACTGGATTGCAATCATCATCACGGCACCAGTGGCGTTGTTCCTGACCTTAGCAATATCTACAATGACGGTGTCGTTGTTAAGCGTCAATCTTGTGTTGCTTTTGGTTATGCTCTGTACTAGCCCGTCAATTCTGAGTAAAAAAGAATTGTTATCTAAACGTACGTATATGCGTTTTATATGCCAGATATACGTTTTTTTTCTATATTACCGTGAGGTACAAGGCACATGTAGTAAGACGTCTACAATAACGACCATTTTAATGATATCTTTAAAAAATCTAAGAACAATACATCCATTCGTTTCATTGACCATATGATTGATAAAACAAGCGCAACCATCATGCTGTTTGTTAGATACAAAGTTTGATAGAATAGTTCCGGATTTTAATGTCATATTATTCAAAGGCAATGTTACTAGTACACTCTTTATACACTTCCAATTCACCTTAAAGTAGGAAGAGTGGTTTCAGTAGCAGTGACCGGTGTAGTAATGGTGGCCACACTGTGACCGACCTTGACCGCAGCGGCACCGACCAGTGACGCTAGTTTATAGCCGAAGAACCTGACTTGTACGCCAAAGTCGTTAGCTGTACTCATACAGTCCCAGAACTCCCCGATACCATGGTAGTCGTAGGATATACCTTAGGAAACAACGAATTCATACAGTAAGTTATACCATTACTTTAACCAACGTGGTGAACAACGGTTATTTCATTTCACGGCGATTTCGAGACGGTATGATTAGATCAAGAAATAAACATCGATGCATACTAAACCGCCGAAGAATTGTAAAGAAAAATTATATTATATACGTATACACGTATGGTACAAATGTGATTAAAAGAACCGCAATATATTATGCCTTTCCAAACATTTTGAAAAACATGTCTAAAGATAAAGTGAGTTAAGTTCAATGAGAAATGTTGACGATGTTTACCCACCATCTGCTGTCTGTAAGTGAGGATCACCTCCCATGTTTCTTGGCATTCTGACATTACAACAGACGCCGGTCCAGAATTGGAAACACTCACACCTGGAGCTACAGAAGTACGACTGAGGGGTGCAAACACCATTGCCGAAACATTCTGAAATGCAACAGGGGTGTTTGTAATGTAAAGGTTATATCTGATTGTATGAATTCAGTGGCTAGTTTATAGAACATTTAGCAGAGATAAGACACAACCAAATAATGAAGTTGATATAATGGTAAATAATTTAAAGGAAAAACATTTGTAAAAATAAAAAAAAATGTAAATAATTATCTTTCATGCTGTGTTAATTCATGCAACCGCGCCAGCCTATCGTGCATTTACACTGAAATTTAGGGCGATTCACCTTGCAACCCGTTGTCTGTCTGAAAACTGCATGGTTCACGGTCCGGCTGATCACACTGCTCTCCACGTCGACCTCGTACACAGGCAGGGTACAGTCCACACTGTGTCTTCTCACGACAAACACAACGACAGTCTTCCCACACAGGCTCGTAGGCAGAGTCACACACCGGGCAGCTGTAGAAGCAAAAACTAGACATTCAAATCAGATGACTTCAATAGTTCAGAAACTTATAACACGTAACTGTAAATAGTTGCCTCATTACAAGCAAATTCGATAAATTACAGAATATAACAGGTCTCCACGTTTATCAATATAAGTAGCCTATATACCTGTCTATGCTTCTACGTGGGGTGCAATATACTCACATATCATTCGGACAGTAACACGTTCCATCACTAGTTATAACCGAGTTCTGGCAGTTTTTACATTCACATGAACAATGACAGCCACCATCAGGTTTAACGGTACCATAACCGCCATTTGGACATTCACAGCCACACTAGAAATATACACATTGATATAATGGACAGAAATATAATAACAATTAAATATGGTTTCAAGATCGATATACGGATGTCAAAAGCATTAAGTCAGTTAAAGTTGCACATTAAAATTCACTCAAATACCAACGTTTTGCCTTTGTTCCATTATTTTGAAACATAATCAAAACGATAACAATGATGTCTGAATTGCACTGTGCATCGAAATAACTCTATTCAACCATCTTAACAAATTCTTTACATAAAACCTCCATGAAAATTTAAATGAATACAACATTTTTATTTTATGAATATGTACATGTACATGTACTGTACCTCACACGTGCCGTCTGCGTTCATCTCCCGTGGCCAACCGTCCGAACAGTAACATGGACACGCAGGCTGAGAAGGGTCATCAGTGATCACCTTTTTAGTTTTACCATCCGGGCACTTGTCACACTGGCAACTATGGTAATACTGTGAATCATAACCAAATATTAACAACAGATTCCATATCATAATATGACTTTCATATTATATTTCAAAAATTGCCATCGACTTAAATTTGTAAATGTTTTCTTTGGTTGCCATGAAGTTTTGATGTTGAAAGATTAATTTAATGTCGAGAACGGACATAGAAACGTATTAAGCGATAGAAAATTTCCTGCAACACAAACTTTTTAGTATCAGGATTGTCCAGGCAATAAAAACAAATGACACAAATCACCTCAATACTAGTGCTTCCATGAGGACATAGGCAGGTACCGGGTCCAACAGGACACGTGGTGGCTACGGTAGCTGGCCTACAGTGCCTGTAATGCCGGTTAAATTATATTTATTAATGATCACCATTCAATGCCCTTAATGAATATACCTAAATGTGGTATAAAAAGAACACAATTTAAGTTCTAATATCATGGCCTCGAATTGATAAGCTGACGCTCTTGGTTAACATTTCTATAACTGTATGGTAATGCACCTTGATATTGAAACACCTAACTGTTGGTGCTTGATCTGAAATACGTAATACACACATCAGATATGAAGATGTCAAACACAACGGTTCACACACTTACGCAGAAGCTTTTACAGAATCAGGAACAAGCACATATTCTTCAAGGCTTGTGAAAATCGAATATGCCGCTTCTAAACGAAGAAACCCAGCGTCTTTTCTGTACCCCGGCCCCGCTTTGTGGACCACAAGGTGCTTGCCCTCACGCCCGGAACAGATCTTAGAACAATTGGTAATGTCCAAACTGTCCGTGATAGGGGCTGTAGTCGTGTATGTGACAGTCTCAGACTGGCTGACAACACCGGGGTCTGAAACGACAATGTCATGTTTGCTGCACTCCAATCCCAAATAAGCTCCGTGTAATGTATTCACACACTCATGTACGTGCAGGCACATGTGTCTTCTACATGTGTCTTCTAATACACTGCAATACTCTAATAAAGCAGCCATTGCTTAAAGGTACATACGAACCGAGCATCGGTGGAGCGTGGATTCCCAGTAACACATGTAAACCACTTCTAGTAGATTCTTATATGACTCAAATAAATTCGACATGCCAAGGGATGAACTGAATAGATCACTCGATCAGCCGTAAAAGACATTTAGACTGCTCCTTTCTTTAAATTTTTGGTTGTAAATTTAACCTGCCCCATTGACACACAGCTTAGAATGCCAGCAGAAAAATCCGTTTAAACATCATTTTCGGGTAAAATTAAATAATGGCTTTTGGTAATTCTCTTAGTTATACTACTTGAAACTATATGCTGGCATTTGTTTGGTTTTTGTGACAAAAATTGACTTTGCATGCATCTGTAAGAGTCCCTAACATGCGTATAGTCGTTTCTGAAAGGATAATACTAACGGAATTTTTACAATACTACAAACCAGTGCCAACAGCAAATTTATAAAGCAACGTAAACAAATGTGCCAAGGCATAGGTGTTCGGCCGTGCTACATGTGTACATACACGTAGGATCTGCTGGTGTTCTATGCCCTGTTTTCTGATGTCTTCATTATGCGGTCTAACTATGTGTACGTCGAAGCATCTGTGTTACAGGGACCAATATAACTAGGGGACGTATGATATGCAGAGACATGTGACAACCGTATTGGAACACGAGGACTCTGGAGTAGGACTTACCTATCAAATTCTTTAGAAAACGAAGAAGGAGCGAAGGGTTGACGAGGTCGTAAACTATGGTATCCGAGGCACTGGGAAACTGCACGTGCAACGCTGGTTCTATGGCAACGTTTAGATGAACACTGCCCATGTCATCTGCGTGATCTACATCATGTGTCACGTCAGTCACCTGGAAAAACAAATCCTTCAATTGAATTATAGCTACAGTGGCGTATAACTCTGTTCCCACTAAAGGCTCATTACTTTTTATATCAGAATCAACTCATCAGGTTGCCTGTATTCAACAGAAACAGTTATTTCCAGACGACAAATTAATATCTGAAAGCCATAATCACAACTATATTCAGAATTTTAATTTTAAAAATTGGAATTTAATGTCTTTAAATATGTACTCCCAGCATGTTAAGTCTTTGATAACCTGCATTAATATCTACTACTATAAATAATTTTATAAATAAAGTACAGAAAAACTGCTCAAATATTACACCCCTCAGAACAATGAAAATACCAATGGTACAATGGTTAAACTGAATAGACAAATTATGTGATTAGACCGTTCACTACGAACATCAATAACAGAAACATACATCGGCACCTTACAGAAAAAGTGGGCGCCTTTGAATAGACTGGTAGCAGCTAGTGATGCAGGGGGGGGGGGTATTCTTTCTTTTTCGCAAAGATAAATCCACATTGTTTTATTGCTAAGTACAAATTCTGGTTGAAATGCAGTAAACCAAAAGTTTCAAATAAGTTGCAAATAATTTATTAATAATAATATCAATACCAAACGAACTGAAACTTACAGCAGCTCTGGGAAAGTGCTCCCCGTCGGCTCCATATCTCCAAGTTGCACCGAGAGTTTGCCGGACTCGTCCTCGGGAATGATGTCGCAATATGCCGGTACCCTGAAATTTGGGCGAGTTCCAGGATTAAAGAACACACACACATCCACATAGGCAGCTGGGGATTGCAGGAACAACAGAACACTATGGCTTCACTGTGGGTGGTCGCGTAATAAAAGTGTGTTATAAACTGCGAACATAGGTTGAAGGGCGCCCGTCCCCCTCTCAAACAGGCGACCTCGACTGACTACAGTTAAACCGTTTTTGTCGGTGTTACTGCTTCCCACTTACCTGGGATGCTGCCGTGAAACTGTACTTCATGTTGAGGAGAGCGATATTAAGAGGCAAGCAGATGTCTTGTGAGATAGCCAAGCAGTGCACACCAAGAGATGTACGTTTAGATACAAGATAATGATCTTCGTTGACTTCGGTGTATCTGAAAATTAAAGAAACGCACTAGTTTAAAACAGCATACATATTACTTAAGAATAGTTGTACATGTACCGTATGTTGCAATTGAAAAATGGCCAACCTGTGATATTTCCTTAATGGGCAGCCATTGCTTGTAGCAAGTACGTTTTCCTTATTTGAAGTAATTACAATAATGGTTGCAAACAATGAAAGAAAAAAAAGCCATGACTTTTATTCAACAACCT